CTAAATTAAAATAAAAATGGATCAAAGATCTAAACATTAGAACGAAACATTAAACCTTCTGGGAGACAAAATAGGTAAAACATTCAAAGACACAGGAGTAGGGAAGGACTTTCTAAACAGAACCTGAATCACACAGGAAACAGCAGCAAGAATCAACAAATGGGATTACATCAGACTAAAAAGCTTCTGTACAGCAAAAGATTCAATTAGTAGAGTGAAGAGATAACCTACAGAATGTGAAAAAATTTTTACCAGCTACACCTCAGACAGAAGATTAATGTTTAGAATATACAAAAAACTAAAAAAAAACTAAACCACTTAAAATTAAAGACACAGTCAAGAAATGGGCTAGAGAAATGATGCTTCACAGAGGAAGAAATACAAGTGGCCAACGAATACATGAAAAAATGCTCAACATCTCTGGCCATTAGTGAAATGCAAATTAAAACAACACTAAGATTCCATCTTACTCTGAAAAGAATAGCAATCATTAGGAATCAAACAATACAAATTTTGGCATAGCTGTGGCAAAAAAGGAATGTTCCTACGTTGTTGGTAGGAATGCAAACTAGTACAACCATTACGGAAATCAGTATGGAGATTTCTCAAAGAACTAAAACTAGAAATTCCATATGACTCAGCTATCTCCCTGCTAGGTATCTTCCCCAAAGTGCTAAAGTCATCATACTACAGCGATACTTTCATACCAATGTTTATAGCAGCACAATTCCTAATAGCTAAATCCTGGAAGCAGCTTGTATACTCATCAACAGATGATTGGATAAAATGTAGTATCAGTATACAATGGAATACTACTCAGCTATAAAAAGGACACACTTGAGGCATTTGTAGGAAAATGGATGCATCTGGAAAATATAATGTTGAATGAAATAAATCCGACACACAAGCTTGAATAACGTATGCTGTCCTTCATTTGTGTGAGGCAAAGTACAAACAAAGAAAAGGACAAAAGATGGATAGAAAGGGACAAGAGGGGCAGAAGGGGAAATGAGAGGAATAAAAATATGCCAAGTACAGGAACCTAATAACCCAGATCAATGTAAACATTATAAGCCATAACTTGTGCCAAAACAAATAGTATCAACAAGTATGAAGAAGGTGACTGGGGAACCAGGGGAGGAAGTGGAGGGGGAAGGAAGAAGGGAATAAAAAAAAACAACCCAAGCTGTAATATGTACCTGTAATTGCTCCCCAAGATGACTGTAAACTGCATGAATTACAAACATGCAATAATAAGTAAAATAAACTTTAAAAAAATTAGGGTTCTATTAGTAGGGAAAAGAGGGGATATTGGAAAGGATACCACAAATGTACCTATAAATTATGAAGTATCTGCTTTATTGACAAGCTAAATTTGGGGCTGGAGATTTATCTCAGTGGTAGAGCACTTGCTGTTTGTGTAGTATGTACAAGACCCAGATTTGAACCCCAAAGAAGGAGATGGCAATGTAGATGGAGGAGACGAGGAAGAAGTAGAAGCAGAAGAAGGGAAAGAGGAAAAAGAGTAAGCAGGAGAATGCGGGAGTTGGGGAGAAGCTTACTGCTGCTGCTGAATTTATACAAGGCATGGAGGCACACATCTTATTCCAGTACTGTGGGAGGCTGAGGCAGGAAGACTGAAAGTCTGAGCTCATTCTGGGCAACTTAGGGATTGAGCGAGCCCGATTCAGAAATAAATACAAAGAAGGGCTGAAGATGTAGCTCAGAGAAAGGCCCTGGGTTCAATCCCCAGAACGGGGCAGGGGTGACTTTAGAAGTTACCGCCCTGGTCTCAGGGCTTGGGGTTCTGCAGTGAGCCTCTACTTCCGGCAAGGAGATCTTTCTTCTTGTTGTCCAGGTTTGCACGAAAGCTGCAAGCGCCCATACTGTGTATTTTTTTCTGGCTCCTAATCCTTACATTCTTATCCAGTTATAATTAGATTTAGTGGAAGAAATAGATCTAAAATAAAATAACTGTAATAAACAACAGCTTATTTTTCTTGGATAAAGTATAGAAGTATACAATTCAAAGTGGGTTTGGTGGCTATATTCAGAGAGATTTGTGGAACACTTAATCTGTTTTGTGAAATGAAGCGTTGCCAGATTCTAGAATTAAAAATAAAGGTGATTGAAATTTTAAGAACATGCCTCTAATCCCAGCACTCCGGAGGCTGAGGCAGGAGGATCTCTGTGAGTTTGAGGCCAGCCTGGACTCCATAGTGAGTTCAGAGCCAGCTTAAACTACAAAGCATGATCCTGTCTCAAAACACAAAAACAAAAACAAAAACAAACAAACAAGTAAAATGTTAAGAACAACAAAACAAAGTTCTCAGAGCCTCAGACTTGTACCTTGTTGGTTTCCCACAAGGCTCTGAGGGTTGAATTATGGTCCAAAATGACTACTTTAGAAGTAGCCAGCATATCTGCATCCTAACCAATAGGAAGAGTGCAGGAAAAGAAGACAAATTTATGCCCCATCTGTTTTTCAAAGATGGTTGCCACAACTGGCCACTTTATACCTTCTACAGCCATTAGCCAGCATGTAGTTGCAGGGCTACAGCTGGGTGCGAGGTAACTGAAAACATTGTCTTTCTTCTGGATGGCCATATGCTCATTTAAAATAAGGATGGTCCACTGCCTAAAATTTGATGGTTTCACTACAGTGAAGAAAGACTGGACAGTGAGAGACAGCCAGTGATCTCTGCCACCCACTTCTCTATGGGGCTTCATTTACCTGAGCCTGCCAGACATTCTTTTGAAATTGTTTCCAATCCATTAAGTCTCAGTGGGGGATATGAACAGATTTCAGAGCTAAGCGCACAGGGGAAAATTAGTCATTAATGAAAATCATATTCAAAATCATGCTGTAATACTTCAATTATGCCAGACCTTAGGGAAGTACCTCTGCTTGTGACATGAATAAACAGTCATATGGGTTTTAGAACTGATAAAGATTTTCAGGAGTCATTGAGTGAATACAAGATGTTGACTCCTGTAACTGACTCTGTGAGGTACTGATTTTGTGTATGTGAACATAAGCATTTAAATCAAAATTACACTTATACCAATAATTTTCATCAATAAAAGTATTTTTCTAGATCAGATTTCATTATGTCATGTAATGTCAGGACCAATTTTATATTATAGTTAAACTTTCTCATTTTTCTGCTTTACTAGAATTATTTTGTCAGGAATCAGTTCCAGTTCTTCTACATGTAAACATTAGATTGAAATTACAATTCAGTATTTTTTTTCTTTACAACAAATTATAGCCACTAGAGACTTTGACACTAGGGGCTCTCCTTAGTGGTTAATTAACCAACATCAATTTATATTTTTGCTCCAACTTTGGAAATCTAAATTTTGTCAAAAAGATTTGCTTTTCCATTAATTTTCAATGAGTGAAAATTTTTACATATTTTTCTTTATTTTTCCAATTTTCAGTGGTACCAAGCAGCAGTTATTTTTGATTCTGTAACAAAACTTCCCCATTTTAATCAGTGTTTTCATTTTGGATTACTGCTATTGAGTCCAGTTTTTCCTGTCAGCCTGGCTATAATATCTTTGGCATTACAATTGGAAGGCCAAAAAACGGAACCAAACAACACCCCCCAAAACAAAAACTTCCTCAAATTCTAAACAATTATTTTGCTATGTCTGGTGGCTTTATAAGAGAATTATACAAATGGAACAGATCTGTGGACTTATCTAACTCATTCTCACTTTACAAGTGAGAAAACTGAGGTGCAGAGGGGCCACGTCACTCACCTCAAGTGAAAGCCTGAACAAGGACAGGAGCTAATAAGGCTGAAGGTGCTAGACAGATGTGATAAATATTGACTGGACTGTGGAAGGAGGGAAAGGAACAAGTCTGAGATGATCCTAGACTTCAGGCTTAGGTGATTGGGAGGATTCTGAAGCCATTACTGAGACAGGATGCCTGAGGTGTGGGTAGAGGATGAGTTTAGCTTTTCAAATGCCTAGCTGGATGTAGAAGTGGAATTGGGGTATTTGAATTTTTTTTTGGGGGGGGTACAGGTGATTGAGCTTGGGACCTTGCGCTTGCCAGGCAGACAGTGCAACCAATGAGCTAAATCTCCGGCCCCAAAATTGGGGTATTTGAATTTAAAAAGTTTTAAAGGCTTGGGTGGAGTGATAAATTTGAGAGGTGTCAGCTTCCAAATGATAGTCAGAGGAGAACCAAGTCACCATCTTGGAAAACACCCACCTAAGAGGCAGAGTTGTAGCCTGTCAGCCTCCTCTGTCCAACACATGCATTTCATTTGGTCCACACAAAAGTTGTGACAAAATATGAGTTATTATTTTTATATTTATTTCTCTTTAAAAGTGAGAGGATCCAACATCACTGGGTTGGCTTCCTGGCTGGCAAACGTTAAGCAGGGACAAGAGCTCCATAGTCTATCCATGGACTTCACTCCTTTATGCTACCTGCATGGGTGGTAAAGGCTTTTGGGTTTAAAGCCTCTGATGCAGCACAAGAGGATCAAGAAGGAAGAGTTAAGGACAGGGAAAGGCAGAGAGGTCCCATGATGGAAATTAAGGGAGATGAGCAGAGAGGTAAGAGGAGAACGTAGAGGGTGACAAGAAGGCAAAGAGGGAGGTACAAATCTTGTTTGCACAGTACTATCCAGCTATTTTGGTTATCCAAAATTTAGGTGTCTTTTTTTTGGTACTGGGGATCAAACTTGGGACCTTGAGCTTGTGAGGCTGGCAGTGGAACCACTGAGCTAAATCCCCAGCCCTAGGAGTCATTTTAAACCTTTCTTTTCCTTATAGTCTTTATCTAATCCATCTCCACAGCTGTCACATCTACCTCTAGTCCTTAAATTTCTCTCAATCATTTATTGTTTTTTTTCTTCTACAGGCATTACTGATTCAATCTTTCAAACCAATATATGACGCAAAACAGTGCTTTAGTCTTAACTCCTTTTTTGTATAAATCTGCTGAGGGCTAGAGAATATAAGTACTGTCAACAGGCTGGGAAATAACAGAAAAAACCCCCCACATTATTTTGGGCTCTGGCTCTTTATGCCTCTACATAGATTACAGGACTGGTGATGATACTGTAGAGAATTTCTTCAACACCAGAGGATTTCTCTCCATCGTTTCTTACGTGCTGTTTGCAAAGGCAACTGGGCTTTGTGCATCCTTTCTTATCTCTTGTTTTTCATATACAGAAACCAGCAGGCGGTCTTAGAAAACCAGATCGTGCCGCTCACGCTCCACTGGCTTCCCATCGCACACGAGATAGAATCCGAGTTCCTAACGATGGCCCAGATAGGATCCACAATGTCTGGACTCTCCTTGCCTTACGGATCTCCTAGCCTGCTTTCCTAGGGGCACCACTGCGGCCCCCTTCCTACGCCCCGGCACCGTAAACCCTTCTCTCAGCGGATCTTCCCGCAGATCTCCCAGAGCCTGTGGCTTCTGTTCTGAAGAGGGCACTTTGGCGTCTCAAATGGGCAACTGCCTTCCTTTAGTTTCCAGCAGTTTACTCTTTTTTCCATACATTTATCGCTAAGAACGCATGTACAGAGCATAAATCTTTGTAGAGTTATTTCACGTTTGCTTTCTCAACTAGAAAATACTTCTCTTGAGGGCGGGCCCAGCGTCTGCGCGCCCGCCCACGGTGTAATAGCGCGGGCCTGGCACGTAGTGGAACCTTAACAAATGGTGGTGGAATGAATATGTAAACAGTCGCACGCAGCAGAAACGGAGGAAACTAAGGAATAAAAGGCACATGGTATTTCAATAACTTTTAAAAAAAATTACCAAGAGACTTTACAATTAGAAGCAGTGGTGCAACTAAGTACCGCAGTCTTGCCCGGCCCAGTCCCGCGGCACACCCGCGCCTGCGCAGAGCTCCCCTGGCGGCCCCGCTCCACCTTTCCCGAAAGGGCGGGCTACGAGCCCTCGGACGCGTGTGGATGACGTCACTCGGCGCGTACCTGGTAGCCCGTAGTAACCCGGAGTCCAGGGAAGTGGAGACCTGTGGGCAGTCTGCTAAGACAGGTAACCTGCAAGCTGGCGGTTTGGACCCCTGCCTTTCTTTGCATCGCGGGGCAGCAGCATCCGGTTCGGAAGGCGGCCGGGAGCCTGGCTCTACCTTCATCTTCGTTCTGTCAGCGGGGACCTTTTCCCTTCTCAGTTCTCCCAGACTTATAGGGGCAAACCTGTCCTGGGGACTGGGCAGATCAGCCACGTCTCAGTACCTCACCACTCGGGATGGTGAGGGGCTTTGACTCTCCTTAAGCCCGTGCTGCTGCTTCCTTCCTCTTTGCCCTCCAGGCCTTCCTCACCCGCCCGGCTCTGCTCCCCAGCCTCACAGGGCTTGTCCCCAGTCTGATTGAAGCAGACGACAGTTTCGGTTCTGTTCCTTACCACTTGCAGTGAAGCCCTTCCTCCTTCCCCCTCGCCCCCAGGATCCTTATTGAGGGCACCGTGTTTTGAGGTTTGGTGTCCCTACAGAACATTGTTTCTCTGTCAGCAGAGACTGTTGCTCATTAACCCCTGTATTAGTGGGTCCTAGGGGTAAGGGGTGGTGGTGGCGGCGGCGCAGTAATGTGAACATGATAATGATTCACCTGGGAGCCAGTCAATTTGAGATGCACGGAACTGTAAATAGCACTTCATTAAAATGCTCACATTCTAGATTTGCCCCTGGATTTTTTTGGCTTTCAATCAATGATGGCAATTACCCTTTCAAAAGTAGCCTTCAAAAATAAATGAGTAACATCTCTCTAGGTGGGACTGGTTAGATCGCTAAAATAACAGGATTCATATTGTTGGTAAAGGAATAATATAGGTCATTTCAAAACCAGCCATAGTAGATGCTGTGTAGATGGGATGAGAAACCAAAATTATGCAGTTCTTCATCTTGATGGTTTTGCTTTTGTTTTCTTGTATTATTAGTATGCTCCCTTTTTGAAGCGAGTATATTGTAATTGATATACAGTAATCCTGAGAATCCTACCAATGATTTGCTAATTGATACAATTAAATTCTTCCAATATTTGGAGTACAAAGTAATTGTTTATTGTTTGCCGTCTACTATGTAACAGGGATGGTGTGCAACATTTTACATATATCTTCTCTTTAGCCCACACAGTAGTTTTGTGAGTTAGCAGTTATTCTGTCTAATTTACAGAGAAAGAACCCAAAGCTCAGTTATGTGAAATTGGCTTGCTGAAAATTCACAGTAACAAATGGCAAGGGCAAGAATTAAATTCGGGTCTATATAAAAGCTGCACTTTTCTTGTTTTTTAAAATTATTATTAGTGATCAGATTCTAGGCTTTTTTTTTTTTTACAGTAGTTACACATAATTCTATGTCTTTGTTCACTTGTCTATCCAAATGGTTTGACACTTATCTTTCCGTACATTCTTATATTCGGGGAAGTAAAACATTTAGAAAGCTTAATTTGTGATCCCCCTACACCATTTGTAAGAATAAGATAAATGGACTGGGGATTTAGCTCAGTGGCACCATGTCTGCCTTGCAAGTGCTTCCTGAGTTCGATCCCCGGTACTAAAAAAAAAAAAAAAGATAAATGACAAATAAGCTTGCTCACTCAGTACATGCTTTTTGTTTGGAGCATTTTACTTCTTTAGAAATGAAAATTATATTGATAGGATGGAAAAATTTTAAATGTACTAAGTAATTTCTTGCTTTGTTCAACAGTAAGCATACTGAACAAATTTAGCTTTTTGTTATGCAATCATAAACATCATTTATTGTCCTGTGTTGTAATTTGATAATTTCCTCAGAGCATTAATTATATTTGATCTTCAAACTGCTTTGCATTTTGAGTTTGCCTGTTCTTCTGTAGTCCATTCTTCATTGTCACAACGGATAGTAAGATGTAGTGATTAAAGCTAAGGATTGCAGAACCAGACTTTTAGATTTTAAATCCTAGCTCTGTCACTTGCAAGCAGCCCAGTGAGCCTGGGTAAGGTACTTGTCCCTCTACATCTTAGTCTTCTTATTTGTAAAACAGGGATAATAAGAATACTTATTGTTGTGAGGGTAAAATGAGTTAATATGTATGAAGAGTTTAGAACAGTGCCAGGCATATTGATAAGGCCACATAAGTGTTTGCTAATATTATTATTCAGCCAGTCTTGGCTTTAGGTCTTTGAAACTTACATTCTAATATTTTGAAAATTGTTCCTTGAATGATATTTAATATATGATAATTACCAGTTTACTAGATAATTAAATTAACCTAGCCAAAATATTTCATCCTAAGCCATTCTGGGAAAATGTTAAGTTATTAAATTCATTTTCATTGTGTCTTTGTCATGCAATAAACACTTTGCTTGAGATGTTTGAAGATGAGTTTTAAACTACTGCACTTTATTATTAATTTCTGTTTTGAATTTGGAGGCTATTTTAGTAGTTTAAATTATGATGTACTAGTACATGGAAACCCCTGCAGAAGTATTCTATTGCCCTCATATTACTATGGTTCTGTATGAATAAATATCTCTTTAAAAAACACTATGCATTGGCATATATAAACATATTTCTTTAGTATAATTTTGTTTCTCTCCCATTCTCCCCTTAAAATCTTTCTTTAAAATTGCCTGTCAATGTTTTTTACCTGAAAATGTTCCTCATAAAATTTGCAAGATATGTATACATTTTTGGGTGTGTATTTTAAACCAAGTCAGCTAAAGGTTGATAGTGACTCTTTTGGTGTCCATAGTTACTAACATAAGAATGAGTAGTCTTAATGCCATTATGGCTAATACTTACGTTACAATTTTCTGTTCAAAATACATGTTGTACTTTGTAAAAATGATTCTCTTTATTGTGGTAAAATGAACACATTCAAGTGACACTAAGAACATACATAGTGTTGCATAGTGTAATCAGGATTGTCCCTTTCCTGAACTTTTTCATCATCCCAAACAGAAACTCTGTGCCCATTAAAATACCTTCTTACTTCTCTTTACCCCAAGTCCTGGTAATTTCTTTTCTACTTTCTGTTTCTGAGTTTGCCTATTTTAGGTTCTCATGTAAATAGAATCGTTCAGTATTTGTCATTTGTGACTGGCTTATTTCACTTAGTATAATGTTTTAAAAGTTAATCCATGTTGAGGTATATGCCAGAACTACATTTCTTTTTAAAAATTAAATAGTATTCCAGTGTATGGGTGAACTATATGCTATACTTTTGATGCGTCTTGAATTATGCTTCTTTATACTTATCTTGGATAGTATGAACTCAATACTTGGTGATTGGAAGATGAGCTCTTAGAATGGAGCTATAAACTCAAATGATACTGTTTTTGAACTATAAACAAAATGCCTGGTGTACATTGTTAAACTTGAGCCAGCATACATTGACTGTAGCTAATAAAAAACTAGTACAGATAATAATAATATTACCTAATACTTCTGTGGTGTTCATAATAAGTCATGCATTGTTCTTTGCACTTTACCTATAAAGTAGGTGTTTTGTGCCCATTTTACTGATGAGGAAACTTGAGACATGGGGAAACTAAATGAATTATTAAAATAAACTGGCTAATAGTGTTAAAATTGGGATTTGAACTTGGGCTGTCTGGCTTCTGAGTCCATTGATCATTAGGCTTTGTCAGTGTACAGCTTGTTTTGCTTGCCACACTCTTTTTCTGTTGTCTCATTTTATATTCTCTTTAAAATTGAAGATTATCTCTGACCTTACTAAGCAGTAGAACAACAACCAAACCTAAACTGTCACCATAGTAACAGGTGCCTCTCATTTGATTGGGATAACATTTAAATGGAATTCATATTGCATTTTCACAGCTTAGTTCTTATTCTTCTCTGAGGACCTGGTCTTTCAAAAGCAGAGCCTGAAACTTCTATGATTTCATATTGCATATATATTGTTCAGTGTTTGATATTCAATATTACACAACTCCTATACTACAAAAATTCTGTGAGTAGGCAGAACTTTTTGTTCATAATGTTAGTGACTGTCAGAATGGTTTATGGCACTTATTTTGCTACTAAGTCTTTATTCTGTTACTTGATTCCTGAAAAAAATATTTTGAAATAGCATTTTTATATACATAATCAATTTCATTGTAATTTTTTCTTGGCTTTTTCTTTTGCTTGCATTTTATTTCTTTGACATTTGCAATCGAAAGTTTCATTTTTGAAAGTGATGGAAATCAGTGTATGCTTGATATATTTTGGCATCAAAGAAAACAAATCAGCCTGTTCTTTTTGGCACCAGTAATAGCTTGCATATGTCACAAGTACAGTGTATATTTTGTGGTATGAACTGTCTTAATGTCTGGTAGATATAGAATCATAGAGTGAATGTTAAGGGTTCAAAGGGTCCTTTATCTCCTTTACTTCTCACTGGACACTTGGTAATCTCAGACTCCAGATAATTAAATGATCTGCCTATATTCATACAGCATTACTCTTTTAAAAAATTCCAGTGTTGTTTTTTGAATCATATCTTACTTACATTTAGCCTCCTTGCCTGTAAGAGGAACTGCCAAGTTTTTTACTTGTATGTGCTTAATTATCATTCTTTTTTATAGGAATATGATCAAGGTGAGAGATAATGACCTGGATTAAGCAGGTTGGAGAGGGAATGGGCAGATACAACAGATCCCAAAGATGCTTTGATTAAAGTCTCATGACTTTGAAATTGGTTATGTGTGTGAGGGTGACAAATCTGAGCTGATCCCAGGGTTCTATCTTGGAAAGCCAGGTAGATGGTGGTGTCATTCACTAAGAAAACTTAGTTAAGGGACATCAGGGATGGGGATACAGATTTGAAGTACCAGAGCATGGATTACACAACCAAGTGAGTAAGATTTGAACGTGAGTGCAGGACATACCAACGTCTAAGAAGTGTGAGAAGGAAGGGCCGAAGAAGTAGGAAGATTTAGAGGAGATAATGTAATCCCAAACACTAATTTCACATTTCAAAGAGGGTGCAGTAGTTTTTGTTAATCCTCCAAAGGCTGAAAGAATACCCTGAATTTGCTAAGGATGTCTTTAT